CATGGGGGTCAATGTGGCCAACGCCGGGGTCAACGTGGCCAACACTGCGGTCAACGCGGCCAAAATTGGCGCCAACGCCAACGTGGTCAAGGCCGGCCTCGCTGTGGCCAACGCCGCCATCAAGGCGGCCAACCTCAACGCCGGCATCGCCGTGGCCAACGCCGGCATCCGGATGATCAACGTGGCCAACAGCAGCATCAACGTGGCCAACGTGGCCGCCATGACCAATATGGCCAACGCCGCGGTCAACGTGGCCGCCATGGCCAACGTCAACGTCCCAATGGCCAACCTGAGCACAGTCGCCGGGACGGAGGCACCGGGTGTCCCCATGGCGTGGCCTTGCAGCGACGTGGACATGGCGAGTCCCGGCCCCACAAGTGGCCCCGATTGCCCCATGGAGTCGCCCAAGGTGAAAGAAGAAGAGGAGGCGGAGATGCCGGCGGCGCCGAAAAGGGACGGCGCCATTTCTGATGACACCAAAGCGGCCCTCAAAGCCGCCCTGCTGAAATCCGCCATGAGGAACAAGAGCAGAGGTGAGGGGGGGGGGCTTGGGGGGGGGTTGGGGACAGGATTTGGGGTCATGGGTTGAGTTGGGGTCTCCATTTGGTGTCATGGGTTGGGGTCCCCATTTGGGGTCATGGGATGGAGTGAGGTTCTGTATTTGCGGTCATGGAGTTGGGGTCCCTATTTGGGGTCATAGGATGGGTTGGGGTCTCCATTTGGGGTCATGGGGTTGAGGTCTCCATTTGGGGTCATGGGATGGGTTGGGGTCTCCATTTGGGGTCATGGGGTGGAGGTCTCCATTTGGGGTTATAGGATGGGTTGGGGTCTCCATTTGGGGTCATGGAGTTGGGGTCCTGTTTGGGGTCATGGGGTTGGGGTCCCATTTGGGGTCATGGGGTTGAGGTCTCCATTTTGGGGTCATGGGATGGGGTTGGGGGTCTCCATTTGATGTCATGGGGTTGGGGTCTCCATTTGGGGTCATGGCATGGGGTGAAGGTCTGTATTTGGGGTCATGGGTTGGGTTGGGGGTCTCCATTTGGGATTGTGGATTTGGGGTCCCCATTTTGGGGCCTTGGGATGGGTTGGGATCCCCATTTTGGGGTCATGGGTTGGGGTCTCCATTTTGGGGTCATGGGATGGGTTGGGGTCTCCATTTGGGGTCTTGGAGTTGGGGTCCCCATTTGGGGTCATGGCATGGGGTGAAGGTCTGTATTTGGGGTCATGGGTTGGGTTGGGGTCTCCATTTGGGGTCATGGAGTTGGGGTCCCCATTTGGGGTCATGGGATGGAGTGAGGTTCTGTATTTGCGATCATGGAGTTGGGGTCCCTATTTGGGGTCATAGGATGGGTTGGGGTCTCCATTTGGGGTCATGGGGTTGAGGTCTCCATTTGGGGTCATGGGATGGGTTGGGGTCTCCGTTTGGGGTCATGGAGTTGGGGTCCCTATTTGGGGTCATGGGGTTGGGGTCCCCATTTGGGGTCATGGAGTTGGGGTCCCTATTTGGGGTCATGGGTTGAGTTGGGGGTCCCCATTTGGGGCCTTGGAGTGAAGGGGCTCTGTTTGGGGTCATGGGGTTGGGGTCCCTATTTGGGGCCTTGGAGTTGGGGTCCCATTTGGGGTCATGGGATGGGGTGAAGGTCTGTATTTGGGGTCATGGGTTGGGTTGGGGGTCTCCATTTGGGGTCATGGGGTTGGGTTGGGGGTCTCCATTTGGGGTCATGGGGTTGGGGTCCCTATTTTGGGGTCATGGGATGGGGTGAGGGTCTGTATTTGGGGTCATGGGATGGGTTGGGGTGTCCCTTTGGGGTCATGGGGTGGGGGTCTCCATTTGGGGTCATGGGTTGAGTTGGGGGTCTCCATTTGGGATTGTGGATTTGGGGTCCCCATTTTGGGGCCTTGGGATGGGTTGGGATCCCCATTTTGGGGTCATGGGTTGGGGTCTCCATTTTGGGGTCATGGGATGGGTTGGGGTCTCCATTTGGGGTCTTGGAGTTGGGGTCCCCATTTTGGGGTCTCCATTTTGGGGTCATAGGATGGGTTGGGGTCCCATTTTGGGGTCATGGGTTGAGTTGGGGTCCCCATTTGGGGGTCATGGGATGCGTTGGGGTCTCCGTTTGGGGTCATGTGGTTGGGGTCCCCATTTTGGGGTCTCCATATTGGGTCATAGGATGGGTTGGGGTCCCCATTTTGGGGTCTCCATTTGGGGTCATGGGTTGAGTTGGGGGTCCCTATTTGGGGTCATGGCATGGGATGTGTTGGGGTCCCCATTTGGGATCACAGGACGGGTCGGGGGTCTCCAACGCTTCCCCCCTCTCCCCCCCAGACGCCCCCTGCCCCTCCATCCCGGAAGTTCCGGATCACCGGAAGTCGGTGACGGCGGCCGAGAGGCAACGGGAGAGGGAAGAGAAACGGCGGCGGCGCCACGAAAGGGCGAAGGAACGGGAGAGGAAACAGCGCGAGAAGGAGCAGCGCGAGCGGCTGAGCCGCGACCCCCAGCAGCGCCTCCGCGGCCTCGTCCTCAGCGACGACGACCGGCACCTTTTGGAGCGCTGGACCAAAATGAGGGACGGCGCGCCGCCCAGGGCCCCCCTGCAGCCCCCCAGTAACCTGCAGCCCCCCAATATCAACCCCCTGCAGCCCCCCATCAACAGCCAGCAGCCCCCCAATATCAACCCCCTGCAGCCCCCCAATAGCAGCACGCAGCCCCCCATTAACCTGCAGCCCCCCATTAACCTGCAGCCCCCCATCAACAGCCAGCAGCCCCCCAATAACCTGCAGCCCCCCAATAGCAACACACAGCCCCTCATCAACCCCCTGCAGCCCCCCAGTATCAACCCACGGCCCCCCAATA